CAAAGAAAAGTTGATTCGTAGCCAATCTCACTCTGAAGCTTCTGTATGCATTGCATGCCTAACTTTTAAAATGTTCTTTTTTTTTTTTTGCAGATCAAACACATGAAAAGACAAGTTGCTGATCGCATTATGCTCTATGAATTCTTAGATCTCTTGCTCTTGTGAGTTTAAGGATTTATAAATAACTCAAGATGCTGTTTTCCTGAGCTCACTCCCAAGTTGAATTTTTCTTTCAGATCTCAATTGATTTCTTATTTTAATTAATAAAAAATTCTTAACTAAATCCAGTTCAAACTAATTTAATTTGTATAATTATTTTCGGTTAGAGTCAGTCTTATTTGTTTGTATTACTTTGTAGTGTACTGTGTAAGAGATTTTCGACAATTATTGTCAATAACTAAACTCTTAGGGTGAACATCAGAATGATTGTGTTTCAGGTGTGAACGGGACACTGAGGTACAGCTTCAGCCTCTTCCACTAGTTACTGGTGTTGATAAGAATAACTTGTACAAGGTACAGACCATACATTTTGCTTCAGAAATATCACTTTTTGTGATTCTATGAACTGTTACAACTATTAGTAGCCCATCCTTTTTTTCAAAGAGAGTCCTGGTCAGCTCATCCCTTCATATGTTAAAAAGTTTTCATTCGCATGCAAGTTTAACTCATTTTCAGAAGAATTAATAGTTTAGCATCAGGCCTTGCTTTAAAAAAGAGGCCAATGGTAATTTGGAAAGGGCCTATTGCCTTCTCAAAAATCATGTAAGGTAAAATTGATGTAGAATTTGTCTATTTTGGTTGTTCATTTGATGTTGTTCTCTGTTTCAGCTGTGTGATTTTCAAGCTGTCCTTTGCACAGAAGATGAGAAGAGGATTCGCCATCTAGACACTTTGTATGAGGTAACATTGTATTTCAACAATTATTCACCAAAGTGGAGGTAAACAGTGATGGATGTTTGTAGAGCTGTGAAGCGGCCACAGATAAGATTGCCTCAATGCCCACCTGCTCTCACATGTATTTGATTTTATACTATTTACTGTCATAATATTTTTATGCCTTATGCACAATGAAGCAAACAATTTTTGCTTACTCATTTAGAAAATATCAAAAGTATTTTAAGAAGAGTTTGCATATTTTCTCTCTTCTAGCAAGGGTCTTTTAGATCCAGTATGAGTCACAACAAGGATGTTCCTTCATGGAGACTTCTGTACCAGGATTATTTTGTGGATAGTAACCCAAGAATAGAACTGGTAGCGATAGGCTTAATGGCAGCTTTTTACATTACATGTCCTAAGCCTTTTGCATTACTTGTTTGGCTTGAATGTTCATGCCCCCCCCCCCCAGTTAGCTCAATTGGTTAGAGTGCTGGATTGTGCGTAGTTACTAAAAGTTGGAATCACCTGAAACCACCTGAAACCACCTGAAACCATCTGAAACCCCCATGGAAACCATCTGAAATTACCTGAAACCACCCAAGAAGCCATCTAAACCCACGTGAATTAAACATTATCGCAAATCGGTATCTTAATTTTCAGCATGACGCAAAGCTTCTGTATTGCTAATTTACTCTACTTTACGTCTATTTTTATCTGTTATCTCACTGTCACTGACAATGAAATTAGTTTCAGTTTCGCGACGCATTCCAAGATCTCGTTTGATAACAAAGGGAAGAGAGATAAATCTTGTAATTACACACTGTGTACACGTTTTTCGAGCTGCGCGGTCTGCGGTCTGCGTTCTGCGTTTTTGAGGTCTGTGTTAACGAGACACCTGAGTTGCTTTGTACGATTGTACCAAAAATGATTTCATATAGTAGAAGTACTTTAACGTTAAAACAGATATAGGCTC